TGGAAGAATGTCAAGGACAGCTGGATGCGAGAACAGAGGAGAGATTTGCGTGATCTAAAATTGTAAGGTTCAAGTCAATAAGAAGCCGCCCCTAGCCCAATTGTTTTGGCTACGGAATCTTTTATATATATATATATATATATATAATATACCGGTTAAATTTTGGTGTATTGATAGATACACGAAATTTCGTTCGATACATCAAAATTTGACCAAAATTATAGGATTTTAACAGAAACGAAATTCTAATTTATTTCGTTTTGGTCCACCAAAAAATCGATACGTACCGACCATACTAGCCGATTCGATACGGTACAGACTTCTTTGCTTTTTTCTCCTTAATATAACTAGATAATTATTTATTAATTACAAAAAATTTTCTAAGGACAGCACATTTCACATTAAACATAGTCAAGTTTGATTTTAAACACAAGTTTATAACTTTATAATGATGTGTTATTCCCTTTGGCCTTTTTTAATTACCCAATTTCATGAATTTTATATTAATCAATTTAATGATTTTATATAAACAAATTAATGAAAATTGAACATTTTTTTTTTTTATCTAAGTGAAAATATTCAACAGACACTATGTTTGGAAAAAAAAGTTTTCAATTGTCATTTATTTGCTAAATAAAATTATCAAATCAAACTTTATGCAACAATTAAATTAATACAATTAAAACAAAACTAGAGAAAATAATACTTTAAATACAATTTGATTCTAGTGTTGACAGAGTTGGCCCCCCTCATCTCAAATCTTAACTTCGCCACTAACTATAATTGTTAAAGTTTAGTAGACAATGAATAATAGGTAGCAAGTAGTAAGTAGTGGATGGTGAAAAATAGGTAGTGGATTTTTATTAATAAAATCATTTAGTTTAATAATTATTTTTAATGTTAAATGACTAATAATGATATGTTTAAAAGTAATTAGATGTATTTTATCTTTTTTATATTTATTATTATTAAAATTATTAATTTTATAAAAATTAATAATAAATATAATATAATAAAAAAGTGTGAATCACATATTCATTTTTATTTTCAACAAAAAAATTATCTTTATTTTTAAATAAATAAAAAATAAACTTTTAATCATTTTGTCTCATTAACAAATTTTGTTTATTAAGTTAATATAAATTTTTT